ATGAGCGGCTGGGTCAGTCCATGTGGGCCCTCGCCGATGCCCAGGTAGCCCTCACCCTGCGACCGGGCTGGCCCCGGGGCCTTTTCCGCCTGGGCAAGGCCCTGATGGGACTGCAGGTAAGGGATCTGAGATTGGAAGTGTGGGTGGAATTTGGGTGGCATAGGGTAGGGATTGGGTCTATACTGACATTTTCTAGTAAAGCTCCTGGTACCACAGTGTCAGTGGTACTAGGAGCTGAGGCGAGTTTGAGGAAGGAGACAGTTTTAATTTCCTTCCCCCGCTTGATACCTAAACTTTCCTCTTTCTAATTGCTCTGGGATGAAAGCGTTTTGAAGAGGCAGCTGCTGTGTTCCAGGAGACTCTGAGAGGCGGCTCCCAGCCCGATGCCGCCCGGGAGCTCCACTCTTGCCTTCTGCACCTTGCTCTGGTAAGGGAACCAGGCCCACTGGCGGGCCCAGAGTGAGCAGCTGGAGAGCTGGCTGGGATTTCCACAGCGAGTGCTGCTCCTTTCCTCAGGGTAGTGATGGCAGGGATGGGTGGGAGGAGGGGCATGGGCTATGCTGCTGGAAAGGAGGAACAGGTGCCCCTCTCTCTCCCTTCTCAGCAGAATCAGCGAGGAGGAATCCGGGAGCCACTTCTGTCAACTGGGTTCCCACAGCCATTTTCCCAAGCTGGGCCTGGCACCTCAAGCCTCCTGTCTGTCATTCGTCCTCCAAGCACTGGTCCAAGAGCCGCTGGCCTTCTGTCTCCACCGCTGCATTATCCCCCGAGTCACCTGAGCCACTGTAACTCACCCCTTCCCCAGACTCAGAGTAGGAGCCCCCACCCTCTCCATCTCCGGGGCACCTCAAAGGGCTCTGGTATCCTGGGACTTCGGCCCCAGCATCTACCTCAGGCCAGATGATGGAGGACCTGTCCCTCATAGGACAAGGCCATGTGTGCCTCCCCTAGTTCCCTGCATATCTTGAGATCTTGTAGTCTAAAGCCATAATTAAAGATACCGCTGGTGGCCGTTCCTGTTGCCAAAGAGACCTGATGACAGAAAGGAACCCCCTGTCCACTAAAACAACCTTTCTTTGATTCTGAAGCAGATGGCTTCCTCTGGGAGCAGTAGAGAAAAATAAAATCCACCAAGGCTAAGGAGGGAACTGTACATAAGTTCAGGTTTTCAGACTATATCAGACCCAGAAGGGAACATCTAGGGCCTGCTCTGATTTTTGGCTCTGGGCACCTCATGCACCAGCCAGCGATCTGTGCTCAGGAGCAGGTTCAGGGGATGCCTGAATCCCACCCTGCATCGTGGCAGATGCTCACATCTTCCTGAGCCCAGCCTCACCTTGTTCCTTCTAGCCCCAGCCCCTCATGCCTTGTTTCCTGTCACTAGGGGCACATTCTGACCTCTCCTTTGCCCAGGGGCCTCACCTTCTTCAACTGCCAGAAGGGGTTTACATTTGGGAAATCCCTTACCAGGTCCTGCCTGGAGCTGGCAGGGTACACACATCTCCACAGCCCGCCCACCCGTGCTGGCTCTCCTGCTCATGGGACCCCAGCAGGCACCCCGGCTGCTGCTCCTGTGGTTGTGCTTTCTCCGCTCTGGCACTAGGCGTTGTAATGAGCATTTCCCCATGTCAAGTTTACTCAGTATTTCGACCAAGGGTCACTGCCCCCAAAGAAGGCTGTCATTCCCTGCTTCCTGTGTAAGAATCATGATCATGGTTTCTCCTCGAAGATCCTGATAGCTGCCCCTGGCTGCTTCCTCCCTAACCCTTCCTGGGACTCTCAGCTCACTGAAATGTGGATCTACAGGGGACTCCGGCCTCCCAGAATGCCTTGCCTGGAGGAACCATTCATCAGGAGAAATGATTCTTGCCCCCCTGTGGTCTTGCTCAACACCATTCATAGCTGTATAGGGGATGTTGAGAAACCTTCTTTATATAGGGCTTTCCCAGATTATTTTTGTTTACAGAGCAGGCTCTTTCAATACTGTATAGCAGAATGAAGTCTGCCAGCATGAGCTGGGTCACCTTGGGCAGGTCTTAACGTCTGTGCCTTAGGTCCCTCATCTGAAAAATGGGGGCAATCCCTACCTCACAGGGCAGTTGTGAGGACTGAAAGTCAAAGTGTAAGAAAATGCCTACCAAGTGCCTGGTACACAATGGGTGCTAAATAAATTGGTTTTTATCTGCAATGGTCCTACATACTCATGATTCCCCCACAGTGGAAAGAGGAGATTATGAGTGAATTGTTGCTTATTTCACAAAATACAGAGCTCTGGGGCTGTGGTTCTCCAAGTGCAGGGCCTGGACCAGCAGCAACCTGGGAACTTGCTGCAAATGCATCTCAGGCCCCACCCTAGAGCTTCTCAATCAGAAAGGACAACAGTGGGGCGCAGCAAGTTGCGTTTCATTAAGCCCTCTGGGCGATGCTAATGCCCAGCCACTTGTTCTAGGACCTGGCAGAGGATACACCATCTGGAGACCATTTTGGTGGGTGAGGCTTGAGATTTGTTCATCCAAGGATTGATTATGGGAGGTATGGATTATGGAGAGGAATTTAGGAGGCCTCAAGTGGAGGGAGATTACAGCTCAGAGCCAATTAACTTGACTAAATCATACCTTCCTAACAAGAATTATTTGCTCTGGAAGCTCTTTGCTCATGCTAGTTGGGGAGATGTGGTTGTGTTTGAGGGGTGATTACATTATGATGACTCCATAAAAGGCCTGTTCGTGTGGCCATCTTGTTCTAGGCAGCAGGGAGCTACTTCTCTGCTTTGGGGACTCCACTAGGGTTCCTCAAATGGGCACCCATCACCACTGTGTGGTATCTTTGCTTTGGAGCTGAGCTGGCTCTTTGCTTTTCAAGCCTCTCAAAGAAATGTTCCCCTCCCCAGTATCCCTTGACCTGTCCTGGACTTGAATCTTTTCCAAGAGCCACAGGACTTCTGACACCTTGTTCCCATTTTGCCCCACACTCACACTGCTAACTGATAGGGTTCCAACCCAGCAGCCAAAGTTCTGAGTATCTAGGGTGTAGAAGCACAGTGACCAATCATCCCAGTTTTCCTGGGACAGGGATTTCCAGGAGTGTGGGACTTTGCGTACTGAAGCTGGGAAAGTCTTGGACAAACAAGAATGAGTCAGTCACTCTAAAGGTTCAAGAGAGGCAGCCCTTAGGAAGCAGATGAAGGGAATAAGGAGGGGCCCTGGACCAGAACCGGGGAGTGTGTGTGTATGTGTGTGTTGTTTATGTGTACTGAAAGGGCAACACAGGTGTAAAGAATACTTTTCACACATAACGGCTGACAAATTCTTAGCTCTACACCAGTAGTCATTATTTCTGACCATGATGCCATTTTTCCTTCCAGTTGCCCAGGTTTGTGAGGCGGTCAGTGATAGATGCAATATTTGGTCACTGGGATAATCACACAGACTCCTCTTTCCTTACAGCCTCCCCCATCCCCCAAGTCTGACCCTGAATCCCCTCAGCTTTTACCTTCCACAGTGGCCAGAGATCCACTCCTTCCTCGGGCCCCTGCCAGTCCCTGGTCTCCCTACGCTTGCAGGCATATGAGCTGGCTCCAACACTGGTGAACCTCTCCTCTCTAAAATCTCCACCGACCAGGCTCGAGCTACGGTACAAGGCCTAAATTCCTACCTTTGGCCCTTTCTCCTCTGCTTTCTTCCTTTTTCTTCTTTTAGTTAGGCCCAGTCGCAGTTACAGGGACAGAGCCTGCAGTGGCCAAAAGCATGAGCCTGAGTCACCTAGGCGAGCAGGTTAGTGCCAGCCCCACCACTTACAAGCTTCAGGACCAGGTGATGGGGTGGTCTTGGGCTTCTGTGATTCAGTCTCTTTACACTTAAAATGAAATTAAAGTCTCATTATCTCCTGGGAAAACTGTGAAGATTAATCCATGCAAATCCCTTGAATTGTGCTCAGTAAGGGGTAGCTCTTGTCTAACAACACCAGGTTCCCTTCTGCCTTCCAGTCTTGTTCACTATCCCTGAAAGAGCCTCTCCTGGGACCTCCACCTGCAACTCAGGCCCTCGCTGACTCCCCTTGGATCCTGGGAAGGTCACTCTCAGAGCATTCTTGAGAATGAGACTGTGGGATCTGGGCAGAAGCATGGAAAGGTCTGAAGGGGGAGGAAGGGCAAACACGGAGAGAGGGAACCAGGAAAGAGCCTCAGCATGGTCTTGTGAAGATCAGCAGGGATGGCCCTGCTTAAGGGTAGGCCTCTTCCCTCCCCATCACACTGCCAGAGAGTGATTAATTACCAGCAGAATAAATTAGTCTCAGAAATGTCCACCGGTGGGGGTAGGCTGTTGACTTCACCCACAAGGCCCCAAACCACTACACCAAGCTCCACCTCAGCGGGCCTCTCAATCTTTCTGCCAAGGCCACCACCCTGGCGGGGACACTTCCTGCCCAATTGCAGGGTAGAAGTCACAGAAGTAGGGTTGTGGCCCTTCTCCCTGGGGGCTTCACTTAGCCTGTGTCCCAGTATAGGGTTCTTTCAGCAGAGGTAGGAGAAGGGTCAAGACCCCATTAACAAGAAATCAGGGTGGGGAAAGGGTAGAATCAGGTGGATCATTGTCACTGTGGGTCCACCTAGAGGTTAGAAGCAAGGTCTCCCGGGGGGGTGAAGGGCTGAGGAGGAGAGAAAATCAAAGACCTGGTGGAGTCCTGCCACCAAAGGCAGTCAGTAGGGGTGGGTCACCCATAGCTACCAGAATCCCACCTCCTACTCCTCCGCTCAAAGTTTCCAGAGCACTGTGAGGGCTGACAAGCACTGGCTCTGAAGCCTGGCAGGATGCATAGGTCCAAATCCTGACCTAGTGGCTCTTGCTTCGTGAAATGGGCATCATTATATCACCGACCTTATAGAGTTGCTACCAGGGTTAAAAGAGACATCGAGTTTAAAGCGCTCAGCCAAACGCGGAATCTGCACAACAATCACCGATTTTGCTCTTACCACCACCGGCGCTGGGATTGAGGCCTCCTGCGACTGAGTCTCAATTTTATTCTCAACAACTGGGAAAACTGAGCGTCTGGACTATGAGCCGGAGAAGGCCGGATCCACACCCTCCCTCCACCCGGGAACCGGGACAGGGCGCGGGGCACGGAGGTGAGGAGACGGGGCCCCAGAGCCCGGCCGGCAGCGGCTTTGCCTTCAGTCGACCACCTGAATCTCTTCTTCTGTCAGGTGGTGCCCGGAGTCCCGCGGGCCGGGACCCGGGCCGCCATCCGGCCGCTGCAGGCCGCACGGGACTTCGGGGGACAGCGCACTCAGCGAGGCCACGTCGGCGCGCATCTCCTCCACGTCGCGCCTGAGCTTGGCTCGCCGGTTCTGGAACCACGTGACAACCTGTGCGTTGGCCAGACCGAGCCTCGCCGCCAGCCCGTCGCGCTCCGAAGGCGCCAGGTACTTCTGGAAGACGAAGCGCCGCTCCAGCTCCAGCACCTGCTGAGCGGTGAACGCTGTGCGTGACTTGCGCCGCCTGCGGCCAGTCGGGCCGGGGCCCAGCGCACCCGGGGCTGCGCGGCCTGCGAGGATAGGGCGGGGGTCAGTCTCCGGCCTGCGGGAATCGGGCTTCTGCCGGGAAGGGAAGCTGAGGCGGGGGCGGGGTTGCGGGGGGGCTGTTGGGGTGGGGGGGTAGCTTAAGCCAGGGGCGGGGAGGCAGAGGTGGGAGAAGGCAGACCGGCGCCAGAACCGCAGCCGCTTACCCAACCAGGGTTCAGGCCGAGAGGGGAGTGGGGGGCATAAAGTGAAAAGGGCCACGTGGATATGGGAGGCAGCAGTCTTGAGGGCATCTTGCGGAGGTGAGGGAGTGGAAGGAGGACGGGCCAGAGACGACTTGGCGCAGAGGCAGGCCATCTGGGGCAGGACTTTCGAGGCCTTGGGACCGGCACCGAGGCGGGGACCGACCGTGGTCAAAGTAGGGGCAGCTGGCCCCGGACGATGAGTGTTAACAGGAACAGGACCATGGCCTTCTATCGCACGGGTCACGATGGGCACTCTCGGTTTACTCTTCTTTAGTGACACGGCGCCTCCTCCTCCAGCCCAAAAGGGAGGTATGGGGAATCAAAGGGGTAAGGAGAGGCGAAGTACGTGGTCCCCCTATCCCTGCCTCCACAAGGACCTTCTGCTCCTGTGCGTTCTCCTGAAGAGAGCGGCGTGGAGCGGAGCAAGGTCCCCCGGAGAGGCCGGAACCTCGCCTCCCAGCGCTTTCTGCACCGCCCTTGCCCTAGCTCATTCGTTTACAGCCTCCGGCTCAGGCCTTTTGTCTCCTCACGGGTCTCTCTCTGTCGCGATTGGCCCGCCTACGGTGAACGGACCCACGGGGCACTCGCTTCTCGACAGACCGACCCTTCCCCTCGGCGCTGGCAGCCTCCAGGAGCGGCCGCGAAGCCTGGGAACTATGAAGGGGAGGGGAGGATCGGGAGATGCAAGTCCCGGCACGTGAGTTGAGGGCAGGGAGCGGATTAGGGTGGCGGCCAGGGTGAACGAAGGTTCGAGACCGGGACCGGGAGGAGACAGATGGGGAGAAGGTGGAGTCAAAGTGCGTGACCTCGCCGGCGCTGTACCTTCAGAGGACTCCGGAGCGTGCCCGTCGAGTCCGAGGAAAGTTTTACTGGTCAGCTCCTCCAGCGCGCACAGAGGCGACGTGGGACCGGGGCTCAACTCTGGAAGCTGAGACGTAGAAGGTCCTCGGGTAATCCTGCGCGGGCCTAGGATGTCTGCGATGCTGAATAGTGTCCGGGGTGTCCGAGGCTGGGGTCCCGAGTTCATGGCCGCTCGGGTTGTGGCGGTCCCGCCGCCGGATGCGATCCGCTCCGCAGCTGCCTGGGCCCCAGCGCGCGGTTCCCGATCTGGGCCCCCCGCCTGGGACCCGCCCCCCGCGCTGGGCCCGAGCCCCCTGTGCCCCTCCTCCTGCGCCCCCAACCCCCAACTTGGGGCCACGTGGTGGGTCTGGAGCTAGTAGATAACCCGGCAGCGGTATTTCTACAGGGTGGGGAGGCTCGAAGAGAAGCCTCAGAACAACCTGCCGTACCGGGCCGCTGAGCTGCTTCGCGCTGCGGGGTGCGGCCCGGTGCACATTCTGGCTGGACCCTTCCTGGACGGCCCCTAGTTTCTGTGTGTCACTGACTCCCCGCCAAGCCGCTGCTCTGGCTCATAAACTAGTCGGCAATAAAATTGCTTCCCCTGGCCCCAGCAGATGGGGATTTGCAAAATTCCGAGAGGGATACCAGAGCTGAGTGTTCTAGGATGTCCGATCTCTCCTAGGAAGGACCTCAGTCTCCCGTCCTAGCCCCCTCGTCCCCGCCCCACCCCTGCGGAACGCTCTTAAAGAGGTCCTGGCGGCTGGAAGTTATTAGTGCGGCGCGAGGCTGCTGGGGGGAACTCGAGACTCGGCAGGACCTGGCCTGGCAGAGTGTCTGCAACCGGGAGCATTGGGGATGCGATGTGGAAGCAAAGGCAGGTGAGCGCACTCCTCTGGCTCTCTGGACCCAGGCCAGTCCACCGCGACTCAGAGGCCCTGGGAAAGTCAAAGCACACGAAGAAGCGGAGGAGACCTGGGCCTCAGGAGAGAGGACACAGCAAATCCAGAGCTAGCGCTACTGCCTGGGCTGGTCTTTGCCAAGGAAGTCTGGCCTCCACAGAGACCCATCAGCCGATCTGTCTTTGCCTCCTTATTAAGCTCCTGTAGTTCAAATAAGGATTCCCCAGCCTGGGAAGCCCAGAAACCACTGTGTAGGAGCAGCAATGGGAAGGGCCACTGGTCACGCCTCATAGAAAAGTGACCTGAATGCCAGACTTCATGGACCCAACCAGATCCTGGGACAGAAACCCCTGCCACCTCGGGGACAAACTCTAAGGTCTAATATATTCATTCCTTTTTTCTTTTTAAGATATTATTTGAAAGACAGCACACAAGGAGGAAGCGGGCTCCTGAGCCCGACCTGGGGCTCAATCCCAGGACTCCAGGATCATGACCTGAGCCAAAGACAGACACTTAACCGCTTAACTGAGCCACTCAGGTGCCCCAGGGATATTCATTCCTATCCGTTTTTGTGTCCTTTTCTTTCTTTTCTCCCCCACCTGTTCCAGTACTTAGCTCACACCTAGGTGAGCACTCCACAGTGCTCCTTTGTAGGAAGAAGGCAGCTCTGGGAGAGGGCTGCTTCACCAGTGGAGGCCCAAGAAGGCATGTTTTGTTCACATAAACATGCCCAAATAGCTAGGGGATTCACAGCTGAGAGAGAGAAGCCCCACCACTCCCAAGGAGCTCACCATTCCTAAGAGACATGCCTCCACAGGATTCTTCTGGTTTTTTCCAACAGTGCCAAGAAGAAGTCCCTCCTGGACTGGCCATCACGTCACCTCTGTAGACCTCTGCACCTCCCACCGCTTGTGCAATGACCCTCTGTGCCTATTCCCCGGGGGCAAGTGGAGCCTGCAGCTGAGGTGCCCTAAACAGAGCTTGGGAGATCTAAGGCAACTGGGCCGAAGACTCTTTAACAAGGACCAGAAGGCGCTTTGATGGTGGGGGTGAGGGAACCTCACATAGCCCGAGGCACTGGCCTGGCCCACCACCAAACAGAGGCAGAGAAACACCGGGTCCTCTTGGTAAGACCCCTCCCCGCTCCCCCAGACACACTCAGTACGTTGGCAGCCTGAGCAGCACACTCAGCCCAGCGGGCCACTGCTGGGGCTGAGAGCAGAGCCAGGCCACAGCAGAAAACCCAGATGCCTCAGGACCTTGCTAATTGGTTACTAATAGGGGGAGGTGGAAAGGGGCCAAGAGAGACCCTTCTGGCTGGAAGCCTCAGTCCTCTGAGGTTTCACTTAATCTGCATTTAAAGAGGGTCTCAGGAGCCTGCTGGAATTGCCTAGCTCATGTCCCAAGCCTATCACCAAACAGACACTCCTGTGTCCTCTGCGTAGCTTTTAGGTCATCTCTTCCTCGCTCTCAGTTACTAGTGTATTTGTGGGGAGTACCCTCTCTCCTGAAGGGCCTTTGCCTTCCTCCTCTTCCATCTCTCCCGCCTATCTTCTCCGCCCACCCCCCCAGCAACCAGGCTCAAGTAATGCGGTTGGACAACGGAGTTGGGCGATCCTCATTTGGGGGACAAGAAAGAGAAGGAGAGACTAGTAAAGGCAGAAGGCCACTGACAGCAGAGCCTGTTAAGGTCAGCCCAGCGGCCAGGGACGTGTCCAGACGATGGTGAGGCCACAGTAGGGGACTTCTTCCAGCAAAACCTCTGGAACCTGAGCTGGGAAGAAACTAGATCCGCTGATGGGGGTAGGAGGAAGGTGAATGATTAATGAGGGAGATTAAGAGATGAAACCTGGGTTCTGGGTTGGGGGTGGGGAGGAGGTTGTGGAGCTCAGCTGTCTTGTAGGCTTCCCTCACCCATACCTCCCACCCCAGGGTCCAACGCTCCCTGTCCCGGGCCTCCTTCGCAGAGGGATTCATAGATACACACCCCCACCCCCTCCTCCACCCCCGTCTGTGATGGAGGTTTTCCTCTCTCAGGATTCTCAAGCAACCCCTTGTGGTCTCCCATCTCCTCGGATTCCCCTCATTGTCCTTTCAGACATTTGGGGTCCTCTGCTCCTCCCCGTTATCCAGATCCCCACATTCCAACTTTCACTCCCTCAGGAAGATGCCTCTACTCCTATTTAAGGATGCTTTCTCACACCTCTGTTCATCACCTCCTTTCAGATGTCCTTTTCCTTGTAGCCCCATCTTCTCCCTCATTCCCTGACACCATACCTCTCAACCACCTTGCCCACCTCAGCCTCCCATCTGGTGGGTTCCCTGACCCAGGCTCACCCCAAACTGATGCCCCTCTTCTTGGCAGAGATCTGCTCAATAAACAACCTTCAGTCTCCAAATTTCCCTTCCGGGGCATTCCTTTGAATTCTGTGAATGTAAAGGGAAGACTGGGGGATTTTCGGAATAACCCCCTCAGGGAGGTGGAAGGACAAGAACAGTCATAGAGAGGTGCTTGGCTGCCCCTTTAGACCCTTAGGGAAGTCCGTTAGCCAGTAAGAGGGAAGTGCGAGTTAAGGGAGGAAACTCCAGGCAGCGGGGTGGGGCGGGGCAACCCTTCATCTATCACACTTCTGAGCTTGTTTTCTCTTTCAGAAAATGTTGCGGAAAAGAATTGACTCAGACACTTGACATTTTAGTTTCATTTCTTGGAGGGCCTTGCTTGGGTCTGTGATCCTGTGGCAGCCCTGTACGCTGGCTCACCGCCCCCGTTGTTCTGTGGTTATGGAGGTTGTGTGCGCCAGGGGAGTGGCAGAAGACTCAGACCCCATCCTCGACACACACCACACACACACACACACACACACACACACACACACCCCACCCCACCCCCTCTGAGACCCACTGCTCCACCACCAGTGAAGTCCCTTTTCCCTCCTTTTCTGCCCAACCCTGGTGCTGGGAGAGACAGGCCAGGCTGAGGGGGACTGGTTCTCCCCTGTGCCAAAGGTGAGGGCAAATCTCGGTGCCCCTTTCCCCCAGGTGAGTGTGGACAGCTGAAATGGCTAGATGAGAAGGGGACGGGGCAAGGGCCAACTCGACCCAGCAAGTGAGTGACTGACGCCTCCACCCAGAAGTGCCGCAAGGTCAAGGGCAGCACCCCCTGGAGAAGGCCAGCTGAGAGCTGGCCTGTTTGAACACAACCAAGTGACCAAGAGCATTCTCGTTTGCCCAGCTCAAGAGAACTAGGTTTGATTCTCTCCGTGGTGCAGTTCTTAACCTGAGTGACCCTGGCGGACGGACTCTGTGAGGCGCATGCCAGGGAGGGGATAAGGGACTCATAAAAAGGGGAAGAGCAGCGCTCTGCCCTCAGCCCACAGCTGGCCTGCATCAGTCACCTTGGGAGATGGGAGACGCACTGCAGCTGCCTCTGCCACAGCCGCTGACAGACACAAAGAAGGTTCTGCTGAGCTGGGGGCGAGGGGAGGCTGCCTGCTGCACCCCAGATCCCCGCCTGAGCACCTTCTGCTGCCCCTTGGCCTCAAGCCATTCGCTGTTAAAAGCCTCATCCTGAGGCCTGGTTCCCAGGTCAGCCTTATCTTCTGACTGGGCCTTCTTGATGTCAAGCTGCTGCCAAGCTCCAATCAGATGAGTCCCCAACTCCTGCAGCTGCTTGGGGACCCAAAATATCCTTAGGAGCATTTCTACTCTCTATCCCCCTCAGCCCACACCTCTGGGGGTCGTGGTGGTGGTGTTAATTCCTTAAAAATGCCCTTTCACCTGCAAACCCCTGGAGAACAGCCTCGGTGGGGCATGCTTGAGTGGAGCCCATGCCGTGAGTCCCAGAAGACAGGGGAGGAGCCCAACGGATGCAGATATCATTGACCCCAAACCTCAAGATATATGCTAGCTTAGAGGCAGGCACAAAGGGGTGCAAAAAGCCTGTTCTGGTGATGAGAGGGTTTCCTGGAGGAGGTGATACTTGGGCCTTGAAAGAACAGCTGGGTATGGGGTGAGGGAGAAGTATTCTAGGCATGAAGTCAGAAACGTGCGACAGTTTGGGAATCGTGGAGATTCTGTCGGGCTGAAAGTTCTACAGTGTCCCCACCCTGGTCCTCGCTGTCTGCCCATTACACTTGAGGGCTCTTCCTTGCTTTCTGCAGTCCCTCCACACTGTGCTCTTCCGTGACCTACAAGCTTCATCTGTGTGTAGGGAAGGCCAGGTCTACTGTGCACTGGTCACTATGCTCAGGCCCCTCAAACGTGCCGCCCACCCCGGGACGCCCCAGGCTTGGGCTCTTTAGCCAGTTCACACCATCTTCACGGAACTCCTCCCCTAGGTGTTCTGCCCCCATCTTTATCCCTGGAAGCTCCATGCCTTCAGCCCTCCCCAGCCATGCACAATGACCCCTTTGAATTCACTGGAGTCAGACTTGGGCCCGTAGAAGACTTAGGCTCCAAAGTTGAGTTCTGGCAACATTGATGCTGCTGGCTCCTTTCCCATTCGTCCCAGATTCAGCCACAGCCCATTAGCTTCCTTCAGGAACTTCTTCCTCCATCTGTTACTGTCCCAGTCAGACAAGTTTCTGACTACCCTACTGAGGGGCTACAGAACAGGGAGACTGGCTGAATTTATGCCCAGAGCCCAGGGCTCATGGCTGGGCTCATACAGTCAAGGAATGTTTGCTGAATTAATCAAGGAAATTAACAGCCTTGCTGCTTTCCTCTTGTTACCTGAAGTTGCCTTTGCTCTCCTGGGCACCACCTTCCCTCTCCTCACCCTAGCTTCACCTAATCCAGGTACCTGAAGGCCTACTGAATCCTGTATGGACAAGCATGTCTCCAACTCAACACCCTTGTGCTCCCTCTGTCCTAACCCCCTATTTAAAAAAAAAAAAATTTATTCTTATATATTTTTTAGATTCTTTGGAATTTTCTTTAAAATATATCAATCTTCGGGGTGCCTGGGTGGCTCAGTGGGTTAAAGCCTCTGCCTTCAGCTCAGGTCATGATCTCAGGGTCCTGGGATCGAGCCCCGCATGGGGCTTTCTGCTCAGCAGGGAGCCTGCTTCCCCCTCTCTCTCTGCCTGCCTCTCTGCCTACTTGTGATCTCTCTCTCTGTGTCAAATAAATAAATAAATAAATAAATAAAATATCAATCTCCTTCAGTCCTGCAGTGGTCCCTGTCCAACCCTAGCCCTACCCTCACTGCTCTTGAGTTAGGACACCTCCACTCAAACCTGTAGCATATGCTACAAAATTCAGGTACAGTGAGAACTCCCCTCCAGAAAGCCTTCCCTTCACCCGCCCGCCCCCCCAAAAAAAAGGCTGGTATGGGTAACCTGGTTCCACTTAGCTCACCTTCTGAGTTTTATATGTGTAGGGTCCTCTATCCCTCTCCTTTGCCTCTCCTTTGGCAATTCACTGAGGGACCACGGACATAGAGAGGCCCTCCTTCAAGATGAAACTCAGAGGATTTCTGAGGGAAGCAGAACACAGAACAAAGCATGAGTATGTGGAAGGAAGAAAGGAAAAAAACAGATGCTTTTTAAAGTTTTTATTTCAAAAAATAAAGCCACAGTTTATTTCACATAAATATCTGGGGAAGGAAGGGGACAGGGATGTAGCGGGGGCTTGGCCCCTACCTCCTCTTCTCTTTCACACTGTATTGTAAAAGCAAAGGGGATGGCTAAGGAGAGAACAAGCAGAAGAAGCAGTCAGTGGGAGCTTCTAACCCAAAACACCCACTCAGCCCACTGCTGCCCTGGGGACTGCCTTGACCCCAGCTTACCTTGCCAAACCAGCGGGACAGCCATATCTGCTTCATGGTCATGTGATCTGGGAGAACTTCATTGTCAAAAAGGAGCTGTACCTAGGAGGGGAAATGGGGGCACAGCTTTACAAACTGCTCTCTTGGGGTGCCTGGGTGGCTCAGTGGGTTAAGCCTCTGCCTTCAGCTCAGGTCATGATCTCAGGATCCTGGGATCGACCCCACATTGGGCTCTCTGCTCAGCAGGGAGCCTGCTTCCTACCCTCTCTCTGCCTGCCTCTCTGCCTACTTGTGATCTCTTGCTCTGTCAAATAAATAAATAAAATCTTTAAAAAAAAACCAAAAAACTGCTCTCGCATGTAGGTCAAGAACTACCATGATCTATTACAGATTCTGTCCCTCCCTTTCAACCCCTTCCTTCCCCAAAAACCTACTGTAGAAATACTTACATGCTGGGGATTTAGCATTAAGCGGTGACACAGGACCCTCCGGAGATGACGAACTTCAGCTCTAACAGAACATCGGACGTATTTGTTCTGGGGACAGAGATGGAAGGCAAGAGGAAAGGTGTGTCAGGGAAGGGCCACAGGGAAGTGAGTGTCCTTAGAGAGGCCCTCCCCTCAGCCCCTCTCACCTGCAGGATGCTTTTATTCTTGTCTTTGCCAGAACTGGGGGAAACAGACACAAGTTAGGGAGTCTGATCCTTCCCAGTTCCCACCCAGCACTATGGTATACTCTCTTCAAGGGAACAGACACTCCCTCACTGCAAGCCCCTCCCTGGTTCTGAGTCACTGACTGTTACTGCAGACAGTTCAGGACCTGCTCCTTACCTCAGCCGTTCCAGGCACAGGCTCAGCTGCTCATCATAGCGATAGTAGTGGGCTTTTGAATGGTCAAAGCTGCTGAAAGGGAGGCCGAGGTTGCTCAGGGCTGGCTCTAAGAAAGAGTAGTGAGGACAGTGGCACAGATTCCATATTCCTTTTCCCCCAGAGAGCAAAACTGGGCAAGAGGGATGTTCTGGGGGTTTTTTCTTACCCTCCTGCTGCCAAGGAACATACCTTCCCCACTGGGTTGGGTGACCCGGTCCAAGCCTCGGGACTGGTAGAATTCTCGAATCCGTTTCTCTTCACCTAGAAGGGAGGGGAGTGTGGGAAATAAAGTATTAGCCCTCCCTCATACTTTGTCCCCATGACTGTCAACCTCTTTACCTATGTGATTCCCACCAAAGCCCTTGTCATCTCCAGCATCAGTCCTCTAGAGGCCCGTCAAAGTTAGGGTGGTCACTCACTGTCTTGTAAGCCAGGCACTAGCTTGTACACGATGTCCTGCATGACCCGGTCCAGTTTGAGGTTGAGCAGTGGCTGTGTCTCGTGGATCTTGATGTTGCACATGGGGCAGTACTTACTGGTTTGGAGGTACTTCACAATACAACTCTTGCAGACTGCAGGAAGAAAAAAGCAGACTCTTGGGCCCGCTGGGGATGGGATTTGTGCGCTAGGTAGGGTGCCTGGGTGGTTGGCAGCAGGCAGCCAGCAGTGTGGCAACCGGCTTGATGGGGACTAGGGCCTGGAAGAACCAGCCAGGGTCCAGGGCACTCACACGTATGAAGACACTCTGTGATGGTGGTAGCATCCACGAAGTAGCCAGCGCACAGGCAGCAGACGATGTGCTCATTCAGGTCTTTGATCTTTACTCGGACCTCCTCCTGCGGATCCAGTCTCCGTCACCGATCACCCACTCCAACCCCAATCATACGCCTTCCCAGCTCGGGAGATGCCTTTCAACAAACCCCACGGCCAAGTCTCGCACCCTGCGCGGTCCGCAAGGGATTAGTTCCCGGGAGCGGACACTCCCCCTCCGCCCAGTAGGGGGCTCCGCGCCCAGCGGGGGCTCCCTTCACTTGGACTCGCCCGACCTTCCTTTCCCAGGGGAGACTACACGACGTGGGCGGCACAATGCGCAAGCGTCCTAGCTCGGAGTTTGGCAACCCGACCGCAATCGCGCAGGCGCATTGGGTACCCTGTCTCTGCGCAGGCGCACTGGGCGCCAGGCCAGCCACCGCCCGTCCTCCAGCCGGCCCCAGTTCGCACAGCTAGCCGACCACAGCAGTAACCCTGCCGCCCCTGCACCTCGTTCCGTAGCGGGTCCATCTTGTACACTGACTGGAGCTGGTTCCGAAGCCTCATCGCGATCGCAATCTGGCCCCCCTGAGGAGACGCCATCTTAAAGGCTGATCCCGGCCTGCCACTTCCGGTGCCGCCTGCGGGGCGGGACTTGTCGCCCAGCAACGAGGGCTTAGGTCTTTTCGGATTCGCTGACCCTCTGTAAGGCCCCGCCCATGTCCCTTTCTCCCCGTGTGCTCACCTGAGCCCCACTGGCCCCTCCCCCTCCTCAATCCGTAATTAAGGAGGGGGTTTGTGGGGAGGGGGTCCTATCTCACAGACCTCTTGTAGTAATCATCACAATAGACCCTACCCTACCCCGGGACTAACTTTTGGAGCCAGCAAAAGACTGCCCCCTTCTACCCCAAAGGGCCCAGCGGTCTCCGCCCGCCGCCGATCAGGGTCGATCTCCCGTGACCAGGACCCCGCTAGAGAAACCCCTCCTGGGTCCTTTCCTCGTACTGTAGCCCTCGTCGGTTGACGCGTCCACGTTACGGATCTTCATCCGGATGGCAGGCCTTCTCCCGGCTCCACGGCGGGAGTTTCTCCGGGCTTTGCGGAGTCTCGGGGAGGGTGGCGGGGAGGGAGAGACCCTCAGGGACTTGGTGTAGTGATCTTATTCGCCCCCCCCCTCCCCTGCCGCCGGGGCTTGTGGAGGGGAGGGGGGGGGCAGACCCCGGTTAATGATGATGATTCAATCATCGGCGCCTGCGGAGGCCTGGGACAGACTAATGCAGAGCAGATGCCGAAGGAGGAGGGGAGGAGGATTGGGACACTACGGCACATAGACACGCCGAAGCAGCAAGAGACTGCAGTAGCATAGGCCCAGCCCCGTACTCAGGAGAGTCTTAGGAGCTCTAGACCTTGTACACCGTGATCTCTAGGTACTTCCAGTGGGACTGAAAACCAAGGATAAGTTTACTGTGAAGTATTAACATCAAGTGTAGTTGGGAGACTCAAGGGAATGATCCCAGTGGAGACCACCGAGGGCGGTCTTCCTTTCTGGAAGAAGTGGGACATTGTGTGGGCACAATTTAGAGAATAGGGTTGGGATGCGTGGATAAGAAGTAAGGTGGGAAAAGAAAAAAAAGGCAGAGTGAAGGGGAATGACTGGAAAGACGAACAGGAAGGCCACGGTGTGGATTTGAGAGTAGTGATAGAAGCAAGGCCTCGTGGGGCTGGGACTTTAGCCTAAGGGCAATAGGGAGCTAGCAGACATTTTTTTTGAAGGGAGGGAGTTACCCTATGAAAGAAACATTTTTGCTCATTTATCTTTGAATAATTGGAGTGGATAAGCAGCAAGAAAATATGAGATGTGATTTTTAAATCAACCCCTTCTCACTACAACCACTGCTTACCTCCCCAGTCCAAGATACCATCATCTGTCCTCTGGATGATTGATTGCAGTGGCTTCTGGCCGGCTTTCCTTGCTCCACGTTTCCATATGAATAAAAAGGATATAAGGAAAGTTTTTTGAGTTGATGGATGTGTTATCTTGATTGTGATGGCTTCATGTGTGTACACATACACTTTTATACACTTTAAACATGTACAGTTTATTGTATGTTAATTTACCCTAAGAAACTTGTTTAAAGAAAAGCACAATATTTTAAAATCAGGCATCTTTTCCTTAACCTAATAGCTTCCATTTTCAGGATAAAAGCCCAAGTCCTATAATGCTTCAAGGCCTTGCATGGTCTCTCCAGCCATACTGGACCCCTTACTGTTTGTTCCACAGATAACACCAAGATATACTTGCATTATCACCAACTTGAAATGATTAGATATCTAAACAATTCCTTTCTTCCTCCAGGTTGTTATTCTGTGAGGCCCTCTGTGATCACTTTAGATAAATCACGACCCCTGTCCTTTCACTTTCCCCCTTTCCTTTATTTTGTTTTCTTCTTAGCATTTATTATTATTTAATATATATCTTGTGTTTTACCTGCCTCCCCCGCTAGAATATAAGCTTTGTATGGCAGGGATTTTTTTTCTTCTGTTGTGTCTGCAGCTCTATTTCCAGTGCCTGGTGTGTGGTAGGAGTTCAATCAAAATTTTCTGGATGAACAACTGAATAAATGTATGTTGTGGTAATGATGGCCTAGATTAGGTTGTATCAGTGGGAATGGGAAGAAAGGACTGTATATGAGACATTTCAAAGGGAAGCATAGGAGGGAGTGAATGAGGAGCTTGGGAGGTGAACACCTCCTCCAGCCTGCCGGACTTTAAGGTGGCTGCAGCAAAGGCAGGTGGAGCTCACCAGAAGGTTAGGACAGAGGGTTGGAACACAAGAAGTGTCAGAGCCAAGGATAGAGGTCCCGAGTTTTCTGAGTGGATATAAGAGATGGGACTATTAGAACAGATGAAACCTTCAGCAGATAATAGAGAGGGAAAGCTGAAGTCTGAGCTCTCAGAATGCTCAGTCTTCAGTGGAAAAAGTGAAGTCGGTGGAGAAAAAAATGTAAGCCTTGACTACGGAAGCCTAAGATGTAAAATAAGACAGTATTACAGAAACCAAAAGGGATATTTCAAGAAATATTTGGTAATCACCAGAGCAAAATATGTCGAGAAATCCTTGATAATAGACACCGGAGCTCTTTGAAAAAGAGTGTGGTAAAGCCAAGTTGTAGTGGATTAAAATAATAAAGGATGAGGGGCACCTGGCTGGCACAGTCAGTAGAGCCTGCTACTTTTAACCTTGGGGTTGTGAGTTCGAGCCCCACACTGGGTGTAGAATTACCTTAAAATTAAAATTAAAAGAATAAACGATGAGGAAGTAGAGGAAGTGGTTGTGTGGAGTACAAGGGAAAGGAAAAATATAAGGTCTCTTGAAGAGTCAGGCAAAGATTTTTGTCCAGGTAAAATAGACCTAAGACAGTTGGGGGTAGGAAGGACTAAGCTAATGAGAGAAATAATGATGATACAGAAGTGGGGACCATCTCATGGGAAAGATACTGCACAAAAAGCAGGAAAGAAGGGACGACACTGGAGCACAGGCTGGGGACATGCCTCTTCCTGTGAAGCTGCAAGTTTGAAGGCCTGAAAACGAAGGTTGGGGACCACATGCACATAGGGGTCCTGTGCCTGGATGGAGGGGCCCTGACCTCCATCTTAGATATAAACTAGCAGGAACCACCTTTTCCAGGGAATCGGGATCAAAGAGCTGGAGACAAGCAGAGGAATTCCTAGGACTGTGGCTGACAGAATTGAATACTCTTTTTTCTTAAAAATAGGGCACTCAGGGCACCTGGGTGGCTCGGTGGGTTAAGCCGCTGCTTTCGGCTCAGGTCATGATCTCGGGGTCCTGGGATCAAGTCCCACGTCGTCGGGCTCTCTGCTCCTCAGGGAGCCTGTTTCCTCCTCTCTCTCTCTAACTCTGCTTGCCTCTCTGTCCACTTGTGATTCTCTCTGTCAAATAAATAAAATCTTAAAAAAAAATAGGGCACTCATTTCTTTTTTTGTAACTCCCCGGAAGATGTATATACATTACTGGGTTTGTGACCATTCTCCTCCAAGGGTCAGCTGGGCGATCTCTGGATGGCAGTGCCATCAGGGCTGACCTCAAAAGGCAGGGTGAACTGTCAGCAGGAATACAGGTCTTCCTTCCTCACTGATTCATTCAAAAAGGATTTATTCAGCCTGATTGCAGACACACTAGACCCCAGCCTTTCCTCAGAGGTCCACGCACTGGAGTGGAGAAAAGGACTGACAGATTCTTAACCTGCAGGCCAGAGTCTTTACTTACTTTGCTGTCTCCCTAGGCTCTCCGTTCTCATTCAGGGGATCCAGCCCAAATGGCCTCTGGAGGTTTTCCCTGCCTGAACAGCAGAAGTTTCATGGCCCCTAGTAGCCCCACTTCTCTACTGCTGAGAAAGGGTGCATGGGCTTCAGTGAGGGACTAGGGGAGGTGATAATGTCTGTCTTTCCCACCAGCCTATCAAGATAACAACAGGGCTACCAAACTGGTGGGAGCCCCCCACCCCCCACCCCGCCTTAAGAAAGGGCTATTTGCAGGGTCAGAAAGGGCTGGGGAAAATGGATAGTGGAAGTGGACAAGAATTGGGGAAGGAAGTCACATATTACTGATGCTGACTGCCTCCCTCCTCCGTGATTCACCCCCTTCAGACTGAGGCTTCTGAGAACTTTGAAGGAGGGGCTGGTGGCTTTAGTGGGGAGAGTCCATTCCCTTCGTTTTTTTATCTTCCTGCCCAGATGCCCAAATACCGCTTGCAGTTCCCTGGAGAGAAAAGACCCCCTCACCCTGCCTCAGGCGCAGGGCTTCAGCCCATCTGCTGGTGAGAAAGGAGGAGCAGTCTTTCCCAGGAGATCCTGGAGAATCAACTGGAAGATCCGTGCACCGAGGGAGACCCATCTACTAGACTTGGAAGGCATTTCGGCTTACACGGGTAACAAGACGACTGGAGCTGAGCACCAGAGTGGGGTGGGGTCTAGGGGCAAGGGCTGACACAGCAGGGTGGGGTCCTTTGGCCACCACGTGTCCAAGGCAGGCCGAGCGGCTCATCCGTGCCCACCCGTCTCGGAATGGTAGGAACAACCCCCCTCCCTGCGCCCAGTCTCACCGGCTCGGAGGCGCCAGGGCCCCCCCGGGGCCGGGGCGGGCCGGGGAAGGTAATGTAATTCCGACCCAGCTAACCCGATTATGGCGGCCTGCACCGGGCCGGGCGGCGGCGGGGGCGGGTCTAAAGCGCAGGGGCCCGCCGGGCCCGGGTCCCATCCCGGGAAGGACGCAGAGTTCACACACTCCCAGCTCCTGGGTCCCCGGCCAGAGGTCACAAGGTCACAGAGCGCCTTCAGTCTTTCCCCACCTCCCATCCCTGACACACTCCAGGCACAGTTTCTGGAGTTGGGTGGGTGAAGGGCCTGTGGAAAATGACGCGGCTGAGACCGCCGAAGGCTTCAATAAGGACCCACGTGTCGCCTGTGGCGATTTTGTCCTCTCGCCTTTGAGGGGGAAGTGTTTGAGAATTGACTTCCTAGGCGTAGAGCGGAGCGGCAGAGTCCCGCGTTGGTGGTCCCCTGTGGGGGGCAGAACGCCACCCCCAGGCTTTTATCAGCCTGACTTAGCCTGGGCTGAGCCAATGGTACGCTTTACACCGATTTCGGAAAATCGAAATTCTAAGAAACACAGGGCACCGGTTACTGGGGTTCGGGGAAGAAGGTGGGGCCCCTACGGCAGAGGCCGGGAGGTGCACCAGGGTCGCTGGCCTGGAGTGGTTGCTCCCCGCCCTAGCCCACCAGACGCGCCCCGCCACCCCCTTCCCACACCTGTCCTCTTCCCGAGCCTCCAAATCGCCGGCGCCGTTCCCAACCGCTTCCCATCAAAGCCAGGAAGCCACAACGAGATTTGGTCTTCGAGGGCACTTAGGCGGGGGCCACAACGAATCTGGGAGTCGGCAAGCAGGACCCATCGCGAGGCGAAAATTGGGGCCTGTGGGAGAAGAGACACCTGCGAGGAAGCCGGTGTGGCCGAGGAAGCCCAAAGGCGGAGGCCGGCGAGGATGGAGTTGCTGTGCGCATCTCGCCTGACTCAGCGCGCAGCAGCCCTTGCTCCGGCCCCTCCCGTGCTGAGCCTGGTTCCTAACACCCTTGCCAACTCCCCCCTTATCCCCACCATCCCCGCCCGCCAGTTGTCCCGGCGTTTGGCTCAAACAGGCGTCTCTTTCCCTTTAACGGGTACGGCCCCGCCCCTGCCCTACCCCCAGCCCCCACTACCCACCCAGTGCTGATCTGTCAGTCACTGCCCCATCCCCAGCCGGCCAACCCTCTCCACCCCGGACTCGGGCAGAGGCCCTGGCAGCCTAGCGTCCATTTGCGCCTCAGGGACAGCAAGGGCGCTCCTGGGGCCCCCGCCGGTCGCGCTCCCCCGGGATGCGAGTCCCTGCGCCGACGCCCGGCAGAGGCCGGCACGGGCGCGGCTACTCCCAGTGCACAGGGATGAAGCTGTCCCGGGGGCCCCGGAGACCCGCAGCGGTCAGCCCCGCGGGCCCCTGAGGCTGCCGCCCCGAGCGCTCCGCTACTGGGTTCCCAGAGTTGCCTAGGGCGACCTCACCAACCGCCCAAACTCCTGTGGTCCTCCTTGACCCGGACCCATGGAGCCGGCGGTCCTGGCCTCGCACAACCTCCCGCACCACGAGCCAATCAGCTTTGGCATCGATCAGATCCTGAGCTGCCCGGAACCCCCCGGGAGCGGCCTAGGCCCCGGTCGCGCCGGCCAGGGCCATGGGGAGAGTGCAGCGTTCTCGGGTGGATTTCACGCAACCTCAAGCTATGGTCCCGCGGGTTCGCTGGCCCCGCTACCTGGCAGCTCAGGCATGGGCCCAGGCGGCGTGATCCGCGTCCCGGCGCATCGTCCAATGCCAGTGCCTCCGCCCGCGGGAAGCGCGCCAGCAGTGCCTGGACCCTCGGGCTTGGGCGGAGCCGGGGGCCTAGCCGGACTCACCTTCCCTTGGATGGACAGCGGCCGCCGCTTTGCCAAGGACCGGCTCACGGGTGAGATTGCCCGACCCTCCAGCGTCCAGTCCCACATTGACCCCTTTTCCTCATCTTTGATCCTTCTGCTCCGACTCAAGTTCCCCGTACGCTCCCCGCCCGGATCGTCCCAGGGGATCCTCCCCCAACATGTTTCTCTTGGTCCTGATGCTCAGGGAGGCAATGGGGAGGGAGCTGCCGTCGATGTCCGCGCCCTCCTTTGCAGCCCACTGTCCACACTGCGGGTAGGGCAGGGTGAAGTTCCGGGGGCTGTCTCTTCCTCACCCAAGGGGGTGGGCCATTTCTTCCGAGGCCCTTTCTTGTCTGGAGGCCTTTGCTGGGATGGCGCCCGGCTTCGGACATCTGGAAGGGCCGCCCTGAAAACCCTGCCCTGTTTCTTCTTCCTCCCTGTAGCTGCACTCTCGCCCTTCTCCGGGACGCGGCGCATAGGCCACCCCTATCAAAACCGGACCCCCCCAAAGAGGAAGAAGCCGCGCACGTCCTTCTCCCGCTCGCAGGTGCTGGAGCTGGAGCGGCGCTTCCTGCGCCAGAAGTACTTGGCCTCGGCGGAGAGGGCAGCGCTGGCTAAGGCCCTGCGCATGACCGACGCACAGGTCAAGACTTGGTTCCAGAACCGGCGCACCAAGTGGCGGTGAGGCTTGGGGCGAGCGAGGGCTCGCGGGAGGCGTCAAGTGGTGGCGCGGCACGGGGCTGGGTTGGAACCGCGGGCCCGGCCGGTGATGAGGCGCGGGGTGGGCGCGGGGTAGGCGAGGGCCGGCCTAGCTGACCCCGCGTTTCCGCTCGCCTAGGCGCCAGACCGCGGAGGAGCGCGAGGCGGAGCGGCACCGCGCCGGACGGCTGCTCCTGCACCTGCAGCAGGATGCCCTACCGCGGCCTCTGCGGCCGCCGCTGCCCCCGGACCCACTCTGCCTGCACAACTCGTCGCTCTTCGCGCTGCAGAACCTGCAGCCCTGGGCCGAGGACAACAAGGTGGCTTCCGTGTCCGGGCTCGCCTCGGTGGTGTGAGCGACGCCTGCCCGACCGGCCGAGAGCTCTCTAACGGACTGAGGCGCCGCGCGGAGCGCCCGGCCCAGGACCATGGAGCGCGCGGCTGACCACGCCGTGGTGCCGTGGTTCCGTGGTAGCGGAGCTGGTGAGGAGGAGCTGGCTTTGAGGCTGTCGTCGAGGGCTCCACGGCCGCCGCTGGCTCCCAGGCTTGCGTTTCCAGGTTGTGCCGCGCGTTTAGACGTGGCCTTTCCCGCCATTTCCCACTTAACTACGGTCGCAAGGCAGCTGGAACCCGAGGAGCCCAGAAGGCGGGACTTGCGGTATAGTAGCCAATGAGGTGAGGGGAGGGGGCGGGCTGGCCAATGGGAGCTGCTCTCCCGAGGACTTTGGATTCTTCGGAGGGTGGGTTCAAGCTGGGGTTCTGGACCCACAGAGCAGCCTAAAGGTGGTGCTGGGAAGGGATGGCGGCAGCTCGCACGGCCTGGGTCTGTATCAAAGGTGCGAAGGAAGGAAGACACCAATGACAGCGGAATAATGGAAGAGGAGCTAGAGGGCAAGGTTCTGACTGTGACAGGAACCAGAGGGTTATCCACACCGGGCATCTCATTCTTCAACTGTAAAATAATCGCTAAGGATACCTTTCTGACTTTGAACCTCATGTTGTGTGTGTTCAACCTTCTGACTCCTCCTCCTCCTTGAGCCTCACAACACGTCTGGGTGGCAGGCAAGATGGATACTAACACACCCGACGAAACAGAGAATCTGGGAACACTAACACGTCTCTAGTCTCCCGTGGGGACAGACAAGGGGAAACAGGGAGGCAGTGGATAAAATTAATGGACCCCGTGGAGTTAGGCTGAGCAGATTTTGGCAAATAACTAGGACTATCCAAGAAGAATCAAAGATAATTCCAGGGTTGGAGATGTAGAGGATGGGGAGAGAAATGGTGTTGTGGATAATGAGGGGGAAATTGAAAGATTAGAGCAAGATAACTACAGGCAAAACTGAACTCCAGACCTAAAAAGAATACATTCTGGAAAAGTGCTTTTGGGGCAGGTTGGGTGACATCCACATAGGGGTGGAGATAGAGGGAATGATGAGAACAGATAGACTCTCCAAGGGAAGACACTCTGAGGAGAGAAACAGAGTTTTGAGGATTAAATCTTTCTTTCCACCAATTTCTACAAACACATTTACAATGTACAAGATGATGGAAGATATAAAAATTAATAATTTAAATGAAGAAAAGGGAAAGGAGTACCCAGCTGGGGAAAAAGGAAAGCATGATGTCTCTGAAGTTGTTAGAAAAGCTTCAGCATGCTGGTGGGCTAGGGGCTGCTGGGAAGCTTGTTGGTGGAAAATTGAAAGTTGGGGGATGGCTTCAGTAGCCTTAAGGTTTAAGAAGGAGCTAGATCTAAGATGTATGTGGAAAACAGGGAAGATTTTGTCTGATTTCTTATAGCACTCTCATTCTTCCTCCCAGGTAGGTGGGAGCAAGATAAAGGCAAGTAAGCTTGGGGCAGGGTCAGAGGCCATCTGTACTCAAACTACACATTTTCTGGGTTAGTGACAGCCAGGTCATTTATACCGCCAAAGGTTGCCCACAGGTGGGGCCAGGCAAGAAGATGTTGCTGGAGGAGTTGGATGATACCGTGTCATCTCTAACTCATGGATCCTGTATGTGCTGCTGAGAATCAAACTAAAATTTGGCACCACAGAGAAAGAACTTTTATAGATCAAAATGAAGTACACAAAGGTGGGTTTGGCATAAGTTGGGGGCTTGGGGGGTACATCAGTCATTCTCCAATAAATAGAAGAAGGCTAAGGAAAGGGTCCAACTTTATGTATACTGTGGCTTACCCAGTCTCCTCTATTCCCAGTCCACCATTTCTTGAGACTCAGGTTCTAGGATTTACATTTGACCCTAACCTTTGGTTGGCTACTTCAGAGCTAGCCTGAGAGAGGATCTGATGCCTTCACATGAGCTCAGTTCTACTCCTTGGGCAGGTCACTGCAGGACACAGGCATCTCCAAACTCTTGGGTGGAGGAGGATTCACTCTCTACTGAAGAATCTGCCATTTCTTCTGTCAGCTGATTCAAGAGGTCTCTGCTCTCGCTGGGAGGCAAGTTACTCAGGAAGTATGGAGGGGCCAACTCTACCAGCCTGACACAGAGAGTCACAATTAGATGATTTCTGTACCCTCTCTTATAATGCAGATTCTTAAACTTCTTCCCATTCCTTCCACAAACCCTGTGCCCTTGAATCATATGTCACTACAGACTACTAAGATATCCTCTTCTCCTTAAGGCTCTCTAACTCCCCAGCCATAATTTTGGCCCCAAGAAGAGGAATAGGCAATGTAAGAGGGGCATCAGGGAACTCACATCTGTGGTTGAATCTCAGAAACAATGGAAAGGCAGTTGTCTTTGGAAATGGAGAAAGTGTGGTAAAGAACCCATGGCGGGGGTCTGGTTGGAGACCTGCGGCTTCGGTAGCAGCAGTATGGGGAGAGCTGGGCCACGTGCTTATGGGTCAGGAGCAGATAATTTCCAGTCCCGTCTGTGTCTCGAGCCACCTCATTGAAAAGCAAAGACAGTGGAGGAGTAAGTGAGGGAGAAGAGGAAGGCAGTAGAAAAAAGAAAAAGGGGGGCGCTGAGAAAGAATTAGGAAGGGCAGTGAGAGTATTAAAAGTAAAGCACCATCTCTAGGTGTTAGAGTCCCTGCCATAATGGCATTTCCCATAGGCCCCTATACCCCAATACCTCAAAGGAAAAGTTTCTCCTGGTTCTAAAAAATCCTTTGAACAGTCACCCAGACCCCAGTTTCAGAGGTGTCATATCAATTTTTGGTCCCCCTGCTTTCTCCTCCTTTTATGACCTTCGCCCCAACTCTTTCCCCTAACCTTAAGGAAGTATCCCGACAGCAGTGCTTTCTGAAGGTCTCTGCGATTCTGCTCAGAGCCAAAGGCTGGCTGGGACAGTGGAAGTTCAATTTGTTGCATGAGTTCTAGGAGGTCACCTCGAAGTTTCTGGGCTTGGCACAATGCTGCCCAGTTTAGTCCCCGAGCCTGGCACCAAGCCTTGTCTGCTCCACCTACAAAAGGAAAGGGAACAGCTACAGCTGCAAAGAGTCCCCCAAGAGAACCCAGCCCTTGGCCAAAGGGCCTCCTCCTCCTGGGCATAGAGATTTGCCAGCTGGTTGCACACCATTTCCCCTCTTTGGAAAATCTGGCATTTTTTAAGAAGATGCAGAGTGGGCTACTCACTCTGTATAAAGGCTTCGTACACCTGGATCAGAGAACTGTGATCACCATCTGTATGTTCCAGGGCCCGACGCAAGGCAGCTTCTTCTGCAGAGAGTGGAGGATGGGTGAACCCAGGAGCAGCTGGAGAAGAAGAGAGGAAGGTCGTTTTGGGGAATGAGAAAGGACAGCAGTACAGAAGGGTGAAAAGGGAGCAAGTGTCACTTTGGGAAATTTATTCAAGATATTGATAACTTTCTAGGTGCTCTGCACTTTATTAGACATTGAGGATAAATAAATGAAAGACAATCTCTGCCCCAAATAGCTTAGGGTCTGGTGAGAGAGATAAGCAAACCTGATCAGCACAACAGGTGTGTGGGCCAATATTTGAAGTTCTTTTTTTTTTTTTTTTTAAGATTTTGTTTATTTATTTGTCAGAGAGAGAGCACAAGCAGGGCGAGTAGCCAGCAGAGGGAGAAGCAGGCTCCCCGCTGAGCAAGGAGCCTAGTGTGGGACTTGAAACCAGGACCCTAAGATCATGACTTGAGCGGAAGGCAGATGCTTAGCCAACTGAGCCACCCAGGCATCCCAATATTTGAAGTTTTGTTAGGAATTAGCTCAATAGAGAAGGGGCAGAGAGAATCTGAACTGTGCACATGGCAAGGCACAGAATTAGCAGTATGGCCTGTTGGAGACCTGCATGCACCTAGTACGGCTAGGGGGAATGGCATGTGAGGCAGACTGGCAGGAGAGAAAGCTGGAGAGGCAGGTATGGGCCAGGTCACAAGAGGCTGGATGTGCTGTGCCAATGAGTTTGCATTCTGTCCAGAAGATAGAGAATAGCTGTTGAAAAGAGTTTTGAGGGAAGAGAGTCCAAGTGTTTAAAGTTTACTTGAAAACATAGGAGGCTAAAGGGATCCATGCTGAGTGATGGTGAGGATCTAACATTGGCATTGCTAGTGAGTGTTGAGACAAATAGATGACTTTTAAAAAAACATTTCGGAGATAAAAATGAAAGAACCTGGGGAAAGATTAGTCTAGGATAATGGTAGTGGAGCTGCAGAGAGGATGGCATGATTCGGTGGTGGTGGAGAGCGAACAGTTTAAGCAAGTGCTTGACTTCGGTTCCCGGCTGGCGCACTGTGGCCAATTCTGATAGAAATGTCCATTAGGCATCGGATACATAAACCTAAGATTCAGAAAAATGGTACTGGCAGGGAGGTAGAAGGATTGGACATTTTAAGTGTAAAGATGGCTGTGCACGAACTTGCTCAGAGAGCTCAAGGAATGAGAAGGCAAAAGGTGCAAGGATGGAACTCTGAGGCCCGATTTATAGCAGAGGAGCAGAGGACAAAGAGCCAGGGAAGAGAGGAAGGGAACTGCTGGACAGCCAGAGAAGCAGGATTAAAACCTGGCAGAGGGAGTCACAGGGTTTTAGGGAGGCAGCAGTTCCTTTGTTCGTTTGTTCCTCCCTCCCTCCCTCCCTCCCTCCCTCCCTTCTTTCTTTTTAAGATTTTATTTATTTATTTGACAGAGACAGCCAGAAAGGGAACACAAGCTGGGGGAGTGGGAGAGGGAGAAGCAGGCTTTCCGCTGAGCAGGGAGTCTGATGCGGGGGCTCGATCCCAGGACCCCAAGCTCATGACCTGAGCCAAAGGCAGATGCTTAGCACCCAGCCACCCAGGTGCCGAGGGGACAGTTTCAAGGCAGGAGTGGTCAGCATTTTCAAGTGTTAGAAGGTCATAAGGAATAAGGACGCAGAAGTATTCAGGGGGTTCAGCCTCCGTGGGGTGGGGGACGTCCGGCTGAGCTGTGGGATTTGTCAGTGCTATGTGCCCATGGCTGTGATGTAGTGGGCGGGGACACCCCGGGGCCTGGGGTAGAGATGATTCTGTATAGTTGCAGGGGAGTAGAGGGTGGAGGGAGAGCAGTGTGCAGGTCTAGTATTAACAGGAGAGATTTACGCACCTTGGGGGCAAGAACGAGCGTTGGGAAGAGACTAAGGAGACAGGAGAGGGCTGAGTGGTTAGGGCTGGTTTTGTGGGCACTGCGAGGGAAGCCGAGGGGCAAGAGCTGCCATTTGGAGCACCAGAAAGGGCTGAGAAGGGCTGAAGTGGCGGCAGGAGTTAGAGAGAGAAGTGATTCATACCAGTGAGCATGGCCGCGAGGGTGAGCATCTCGTCTACACAGTCAAACTCGCAGGAGGCCAGCAGGGCTTTGGCCAGCTCTGGGGGCAGCGGGAACTCTGACAGGATGACCCCCAGGTCTGAGAGGTTCCCATCATCATCCAGGGCTGCCAGGTAGTCCAGGTCTTCCAGGGCCTGCATCAGGGCTTCTGGAGCTGGTGAGGAAAGAGGGCTGAGCGGGCAGGGAGTATCGGAGCCTGGAGGTCAGACAGCAGGACCTGGGGGGTGGGTGCTCACCAGGCCGGTCCAGGAAGTGACACTCCCCAGGCTCTGCAATCTGTCTCCTCTTTAGAAGTAACACCACAGGGCTCAGATTCTCCTCACATATCCTGGCTATGGGCAGCAGGGGCGCCTCTAGTTCTAGGAAGGACTTAGGGTACAGGCAGAGGCAGGACCCTGAGGGGAGAAAGACCTGGGAAAGAAGGCCACTGCAGATTTCTTGGGTTTGCGTGTGGGGATTCTTTTCATGTTTGATCTCAGTAGCGCAAAGGCTCTTACCTGGTGGGAGCCCTCTTGCCCGTAGTCTTCTTGCCTCTGCCTGACACTTGCTGATTGGTCTCAACACTTGGGATTCTGCTCGAATCTGAGGATTGTACACCTGTCACCGCCCCCCACAACCAAGGCCAAGACAGATCAGAGTGGGCTACTTCTATCCTTAGCCCCCACATCCCCTCATCTCTCTCACTCACACTTCGAAGCTCCAGTCCTGAGTCAATGACATGTCGGATCGAAGGGAGGGAGAAGGAGAAGTCAGCCAGCCAGTGAGTGACCACGACCTTTCGGGCACCCAAGTCTGTGTCCTCGTATGCAGCCTGAACGGCTGGGCCACATCCGGGGTGAAGGGGCAGCACCCGTGGTGGAGGCCCTCTGAGAGCCAAGGGCCCCACCTCCCTGGACAAGGATTCACAGCACAGCAAAATTTCCTGAAGGGAAGGGTGGGGCATTAAGGCAGTTGTCACCTTTTTAGTGACAAACCCCTTTGAAAAAACTGATGAAAGCTATGGCTTTTCATTCTGGAAAAATGCACATAAAGTTGTCAAAATTTTAGGAATTCACTGAGCCATAGTCTCTGTGTTAGATGGGTGGTAGACCTCTTTACCCCAAAGCCTTCAGTTTTTCCTGAGGACTCCAACATAGTAAATACTACAACTTCAGTGTTCCTAATAAGCATTGCTCCAACTCCCCCAGGAAAGGAAGGCGGCATATGTGAGGACCTCTTTCTGCCGCCCACTTTTACCTCCTCACTGGGCAGGTACACCAGCACATCTCCTGGAGCCTCCTTTGTACACAATTCAATCACAGCTTGGCAGGCAGCTTCCACTCGATCGGTAGGGACAGTGTCCCTGTACACAGGTGTGGGACACGTGCCAGGCCGTCTGGGTACATGCACAGTAGGAGGGTTGCCCCAGAAGGCTTGGAGCTTGGGTTCAAGGGCAGGGTCAGTAACCACAACCACTCTCGAGTCTCCTGGAAGGTTTCCCAGCCTGGCATTTTGCAGGAGCCCCTGGAGCAAGTCCGAGGCCACTGACCGCTCCTGGGCCTCATCCAGCACCAGCACGCCCCAGGCTCCTGTGCCCCGGGTTGAGGCTACCTCTTGCAGAAGCAGCCCGTCCCAGCAGAACCTGTTGACATTGGCAGTAGGCAGAGGAGTCAGGGTGGACACTGAACAGCTCCAGAAGCCCAGGGGAACATCTGCCTGGGGGGCCTAGATTTTGATAACAAGGTCAGAAAAAAAGACCTTGTGAACCTGTATTGAGACCCACAACTTCACTGATGATGCTTTTTTCGAAAGCTGTACTCCAGTTGGGCAGGTGAGGCCCCTGACTGGGGTTAAGGGCTTAATTCAGCATTGTGTTGTGCATCATCTAAAGGGTAACATGGGCTGAGGGAGCATTGAGTGAGGTGTCAGAGGTCTGGGCTTGTTTCTACTGGGTGAGGAAAATCAGATTTGGGTCAGGCCTGCCAAGAGGCCTCACCTGAGCAGGGTGTCTGGCCCTGTGCAGTCCTCTTGGGGAATGCTGTATCCAACCTCATGACCCAGCGTTAGGTCCATCTCATCGGCAACCCGCATGGCCAGGCTCAGGGCTGCCAGAGGGTGGGGCTGAGTGACAGTCACTCGGCCTTCCTGGAACCCCCTGGCCAGTGCAAACTCTGCACACCACTGAGGGATCTGGGGTAGGAACAGGAAAGGACAAGCAGTCAGCGAGATGCTGGACTTCAGTCAGAAGTACAGGGGGGGGAACTGTGGCCATTTTCATTTGGGGAGTCCCCTGGTCCTTCAACAGCCCCCTGGGCTTTGACCACTCCCCTGGAACCCCAAGCAGCCCAATCCCCACCTTGTTAGGGGAAGGACCAGTTCTCTAGTCCCTCCCTTTGTCTACTCCCAGAATCTCCCCCCACCTGGGTGCTCTTGCCAGAGCCAGGCTCTCCAGACACCAGCACCACTCCACCGGGGCTACTCTCCAACTGCTCCAAGAAGATAAAGCGAGAAGCCCAGATGGGTAAGGCTCGGCGCTGCTCAAGCAGCTCGTAGTAGCGGGAAGAGAATGGGAGCCCGTCAAAGGGGTTCACAGCCAATTCAGACTCCCCGGGGTTTGGGCCAGACTCTTCTGCTAGCCCAAGACGCTGAGAGGCCATGGTAGCTGACTGGTAGTACCTACAGAAGGCAGGGCAGTGATTAAGGCCTTGTATTAGATGACTGACACCAATTTCCCACCCTTGATCCCTAACCTGTACCCTCAGGCGGTAATGCGCTGGGGTCCATCCTTCCCAGCATTTCTTGCCTGCCAGGAAACAGTGGAGACTTGAGTCTGAAAGTGAGGGACGATCAGAAGTGGACTATTAACCTGTTAGGTAGTAAAAATCCTGTGACTAACACAGGGGGCCTCCAGGGCAGCAGGAATTATGGTAACCTGCGGGAGGTCCTGAGGGGAAAAGCCTAAAGAGATAAAGAATAGGAGAAGGGAGAGGGTAGGAACCGGGGAGCAGGGCCACAAGGATCCTGGATTCAAACCTGCTTGCAGCTCTGAGACGTGTCACAACGGCAGCCAGGTCCAGACCCACCCAGCCAGTCACCACCAACCCAGACCCGAGTGAAGTACAAAGGTAAATTCCGGCTCCACCCTGGGGCTTGGCTTAAATAGGAATCCTTAAGCCTGGTTTTGGGGTGTGGCCATTTGCTCCACCTTATTTAATCGGTCAGAAGCCTATGGAAAACAGGTTCCAGATCCCACACCCAGCATGTGTGTGCTGTAGTGTACACTGTGCTTGTTTGTGAAAGGCATCTTGGGACTTGTAGTTTTGCAGCTGTGTCTTCACAAAACTGGGCTGAACACCCAAGCTAGGGTCCAGCTGCTACTGGTCTTCAGTTCAGTTACACTTCCACAGTATCACTCATTTCTTGACACGAAGGGGTGATTTCAACCACTTCTCACAAACCCACAAAGGGGCTCTCACCGCTGTTCCCCCACAACCAAGGGAAAAGGAACCTGCTCAGTGGGCTTTTGAGCCCCAGAGAGGCAACAGAGACTTGAGTGAAAACCCTGAATTTAATATGATTTTGCGGGGAGCCCCATCCCTCCCTTTTTACCACCCACCCTTCCAGCCAGTTTTAAGTTGGGTGAGGGCTGCCCCCAGTCTCCGTCCTGCGGCTCTGGGTGCCATCCTGTGCTCAGTCAGCCTCCTGGGCCTGTCTCTCTGTGAATCTCCTGCGAGACATAGGGAGAAGACATTGTGTGGGCTTTGCCACATTAGCCCTATGATTAGCTCTCTTCTCCAGCCTGCCCCTTCCTACCCACTGTCCTCTAAGCCCCTCACCTTCTCGCATATTCATAGAGTGCCTGCTTGCGCTCCTGTAGGCTCTCCTGCCGGGCCCAGGAGGACTTGGCAAATGTGAGGGCTGTGGGCTGAGGGGTCACCGGGCCAGAGCTGGGGAACTGAGGTGATCACAATGTCAAAGGGCTTGCGAAGTCATCATCATTAAACACGCATCGAACGCCTACTTTGCAAGAGAGGCACTGTGCTAGGGTCTCAGGATCAAAAGAGACATCAAGGATAGGGAGTATGTAGACTGCCCATCCCAGCCCTAGTCCTGGACCCTACCATTTCCTGGGTCTCACCTTGGGGGTGGAGGCTGTAGGAAGGGACTGGGTCCCTTCAGTGATATCTTCAGGCATGAACGCTACAGCTCCCTCAAGCAGATTAGTGATGGTCAAGTCTACACAGCCAGTTCTGGCTGGGGAGAAGGGAAGAGAGAAGAAGGGAGTCTGTTTTCCTGCTCACCTTTTCCCCTCACCACCCACTTTTCCTCTCTGCGTCTGTCTCCTGTGTGAGGCTACCCTTTCCCATACCCAGGTCTCTCTGGATGACGCCCAATGGCACATGGGGTAAAACCTCCTTGACTCTCTGAGCCAGAGTTGCCAGCTGCACATCAGGAGAAGGGCCAGGGGAGGGAGGGAAAGAAGACTGGGCTGCAAAAAAGAAATCCGAAACATGGTGAGTGGAGAACTGGGAGGAAAGTGAGACTGACTAGCACAGGAATAGGAAGGGAATCACAACAGGCTGAGAAAACCCAAACAACTTTGTGTATAGAGACTACACACCTGACTGAGGGCGCAATCTGGGGTGTCTTTGTCGTTTCATGTGCTCTGCTTTGTCTGCTGGAGTGAGTCGTGTCCCTGTCTGGCCCAATTCTTTGGCCACCAGCTAGGGAGAATTGGAAGGTTGGAATTGTCAAGGTTTCAAGACTTCCTCCCCCTACTCTTAAAGAAAAACCCCACCTCCACCCTGCCTGTGTACCCTACCACCTGTTGTACACGGAGGGCAAACTCCTCATTCCCCTCCCCCAGCTGGCGATGAACAGGAGGGAGCCACCTGAAAAAAAAAAATAATTAAAAAAAAAAATCCAGGACCATGTTGTGTATGCCTGGGGTAGAGGCTGTCACCCTCTCCCCACTTTGATACTTCTTCTCATGTAACAGTTGTAATCAGGGTGGGAAAACAATACACACTTTGTATTGCTTCTATAATAGAACCTTGAAACTAAGATCTGCAAATGGACAGGGAAGAGACAACCTCCCTGACCTTGAGGTGAGCTTCTCCCAGCCACCAAACAGTGAAGACAGTTAATACCTTACTTGATACACCGTGAAAGGAACGAAAAGTGACCACAGCAGTTCTGAGACCCAGGAGGCATCGGACACCGTCTGAAGGGAGGGCATGAAGTGCGGTCTAAGCCTAGGCCAGGAGTGGGAAACTTACCCTCCAAGCCCCAGAGATTTCCTGTCCAACACACACTCACCACAGAGACTAGGGGTCTCTGGACTCGCAGGGTAAGAGGTTGTACCACATCCTGAATAGAAAATGGCCAGGAACTGGAAGATGGAAGAGAGAATAGGATGGGATTCTAGCCAGCCGGTCAGCACCTGACTCAGAACAGAAAACTGTCAAATTGTACGAGTAGATAAATGAGGAATAAAGAGGAACAAGAGAAAAAGAACTAAAAGCGAACACAAAAGAAATAAACTAGAAGGGAAGAGGTAGGGATGAAAATTGTGAAAACTCAAGGGCCCCCAAGCTTCACCACCTACCCAGCTGGAGACCAATACTTGTGCTCACCCACCTGAAGCGCAGGAGCCCCTCCCGGCCATTGGTGGCCTCTTCCTCAGGGAATAGCAGCAGAGGGGTGGGGGGAAGCCTCGTGGAAGCACAGAATCTCTTGAGTGACTCCACCAACTCCCCCCGCCCATCCATCTCCATGAAGCCTCGAGACCAGCACACAAAACTTGGGGGACTATTGAGTAGAGGCTGGGAATCGAAGAGAAGGCAAGAAAAGAACATTGGGAAGTGAGAAAAACTGACATGTGGGGGTAGAGAAGTGGAATTAGGGGTCAGGCTCAGTATTTCGTGGTCCCCAAGGGAAACGCGGGTGGGCAAAGGGGAGCCTCGGGCTGGGTCCCAGGGAACCGCCCAGTGGAGCTCTCCGCTTCGCCCCCCACTCACGGTGCTACAGCTGGTGAGCAAGTTGACTATGTTATGGTCGAAAGGCGTCACGTGGTTGGAAATGAGGACCCTGACGCGGTGATCCCGGAGTCCGGAGTCCTCCTGCCGGGCCACGAGCCCCAGCACCGCACACATGGTCCGCACCACGAACCTGGGGAAGCAGGCAGTAGTGACTTGACGGCCTCGGGCCGGGCCCAGCCCAGACCCTCCCGAAATCCCGGGGTCCTTACCTGCGAAGGACACTGTCTGGCAGAGCGCAGCTGACCAGGAAGACGTGGATCCCAAGAAAGAGGCGCAAGATGAGAAGGCAGAACCCGACTGGAGCGTAGAGCAGCAGCGCGAGGAGCAGGAAGCCGTCACCCGGGAGCCTGGGGGCGAAAGGCGGGGTGATCGGGCGCCGAAGGCCGAGTGGACGCGGGAGCCGGCCTCTTTCCGCCAGGGCTCTTACCGGTGCGAGTCAAAGAGCCGCTCCGGCCCCAGCGCGGGGGAAGGATCCATAGCTGCTGCTTTAGGACCGTCCGGCCGCCGCCGCCGCCATCTTCGCGCCCCGCCGCATGGGCTCCTGGGAAGGCTGAGTCTTCGGGCATCCGCCCAGGGTGCCGGCACCCGAAGTCTTGAGGCGCCCCGGAAGGGTTAGCGGTCCCAGCATGCCTCGCGGGCCCTTGGGCCACCTCATAACTCGTGTCCCGCGGGGACCACAATTCCCGGCATTCGCGCGGCGGGGGCGGAGTCGGTCTCCTGGAATCCTGGGTCCCGGCGTGCACTTCTGGAGGACTTCAGGTACCGGCGTGCCCCGCGTCCCTCTGTCCGCCAGCTCGCGTCCAGGGCACCGCCTCTGTGTAGGGCGGGCGAGAAGGCAGCCGAGGCGGAGCTGATGGCTGCACTGAGGGCGGGGCGGGGTGCAGGCTGGAGCCTCCGGGGATGGCGGGCTTTGGGGGGGGTTCGCTGGGGGAAGGGACCCCTGTTGACCCCTGACCTCCGGGCCTTGCTGACGTCAGGAACTCCTGACCCTCGGGCCCGAGTGACTTATGGGACCCCCAGTCTTCGGGCCCGGTTGTCTGTGGGGGTCCCTGAACCACGGACGTGTCTGACGTCGGGGGCTTCGGATTCCCGAGCACGGCTGACTGCAGGGACCCCAGATCCCAGGACCCGGGAGGTCTCAGGGACCCCTGGAACCCGTTCGCGCGTATGGCTGGCGGTGGCGCTGGGCGCTGGGGGGGCAGTGCTGTTGTTATTGTGGGGCGGGGGTCGGGGTCCCCCAGCGGTCCTCGCCTCGGTCCTTGGCCCGCCGCCCACCTCTCCCCGGAGCCAGTACAACTTCATCGCAGACGTGGTGGAGAAGACAGCACCTGCCGTGGTTTATATCGAGATCTTAGGCCGGTAACGGTGGGGGAAGAGCGGAAGGCACCCAAGCCGCGGACTAGAGGGCGGGCGAGCAGGGGTCTGAGCCTTCTTACATCCTTGCTTTCCCCCATCCCAGGCACCCTTTCTCGGGCCGCGAAGTCCCTATCTCAAATGGCTCAGGATTCGTGGTGGCTGCCGACGGGCTCATCGTAACCAACGCTCATGTGGTGGCTGATCGGCGCCGGGTCCGTGTGAGGCTGCTTAGCGGCGACACGTATGAGGCCATGGTCACAGCTGTGGATCCTGTGGCAGACATTGCCACGCTGAGGATTCAGACGAAGGTGGGGGTCTGGGCGGGCTGGGGCTGATTGAAGCTGTGAATTTGCTCACATCTCCGTGTGACAGGTCTGTTATATCCATTCTCCCTCAGGAGCCTCTCCCCACACTACCCCTGGGACGCTCAGCCGATGTCCGGCAAGGGGAATTTGTTGTTGCCATGGGAAGTCCCTTTGCACTGCAGAACACGATCACTTCTGGCATTGTCAGCTCTGCTCAGCGTCCAGCCAGAGACCTGGGCCTCCCCCAAACCAATGTGGAATACATCCAGACTGATGCAGCTATTGATGTGCGTTCTGACATAAGGAAAATGAAAACTAGGTTGGGGGCTGGGGGTGAGGCTGTGGGGTGCAGGCACCAACTGTGATAGATGGTGCATGAGCCTATATACAGAGGTTGGGCTGGGAAAGGAGAGAATTTGGAGAAAGTGCCTACATCCTGGTCATGCCCCCAAGCATAGAGTCCCTGGATTTCTTCCATATTTTCTCCTTGTCCTGCAGTTTGGAAACTCTGGAGGTCCTCTGGTTAACCTGGTGAGTGGGACACCCTTCTTTCCAAGAATCCCTGCCCCAGGTCAGTGTGAGAAGGGGTGTGCTTCCCCTAATTCAGTGGTGTTTGGTTAAGTTTCTGAGAAGTCTCCTGTTGGCTATCTCCCAAAATCCAACCAGGTCTCCCCAGCTCCCCAATACTCCCTGCTACTCTTGTTCAGGTATCCCCATCTCCTAATAGGTGTCTGGTCTAGGG